AGGCCATGAAACATCAGCTTCCAGTCCACAAGGCCACCAAGCATCTGTACTGCTGTAGAAATCCTCAAGCATTTTCCCCCAGTCCCCTGGCTCCTTTCCTCTGCCTTCCTTTCCCTCCCTCCCCAGTGGAGGACTGAGTGCTTCCCCTCCCTCCTGCACTCTGATGAAGCTGTCTGTGGGGTTGAGGACAGTGCCCACAGCCTCCACTGATCCCTTCCCAGATGGAGATGACCCCACCACTCCCTCTACCCAGAGGAGAAACACTCACCTAGTGGGAAGGTGCTAGTAGCCCCTCTCAGGGCTGTGGGCAGCAAACTGGACCTCTAGGAGATAGCTTGGACTGGACTTTGGTACAGGAGACACAGGCTGTGGGGCTAGCATGCCCAAGGCTGCCTCTCCCTGAAGTTGTGTTCCCTGAGCCAGGGCGGGGGCAGAAGGCAAAAGGTGTGGCACCAACTGATAGACTGTGGTAAGCCTCTGTTTTTAAGGCACCAAACCTCAGGGACCATTGTCCCACTGCGGAATCCAGTTCATGAAGACTGTCCCTGGCCACACAGGGACAAACCAAAATCCCCACTTCTGGTGTTTTTTTCAAAGGAACAGAAGCAATTCGCTCTGGTGGGTACTTCCGAGGCTGATGGACACCTCATGTGACTGGATGGGTTTGGCACTGTTGCTCTCACTGTCCCTGAGAACTAGGAATTCTGACACCTAGGCTTTTCCTCTCACACTTCACCCATCCCAAGGGCAATAGGTGATTTCTGGTCAATGAGTTTTGGACAAATTAGATGGTTGTGTCCTAGGGCCAAATACATCAGGAACTGAATCTAAAGGGATGGAGGGTTTGAATGAAAGTATTCCTGTGGATGGTTTCAATGTTTTCATACTGCTGAAATAACTATTTCTCTACATTAGTTTGAGACAGGAAACCCTAGAAAGTGATAGCATGGGTTCAGGAGAAGCTCTGGTTACCAGGTTCTGTGAGCAAGTACTGCCATCCCAGCATTCACCCCCTGCCTCTGGCCTCAGAAAGTAGCACCTGCATGTGGACAAAATCTTCTATCTGCAGTTTACAAAGAAAAACCATGGTGTCAGGTTGTTGAACTCAGGAGTTATTGTTAATATTGTGTCTTATTCAGGAAATTCAGGCATGAAGGGAAGGTAAGAAAATTGACAGTACATATTTTTAGAATATCAAAGGTACTATATTGGAGACTTAAAGAACTTCAAGTATATGCCCATGATGAACACAAACATTTTCATGATTTTTTTTTTTTTTTAGGATTCATTCTGTCACTGGGAAGACTCATATAGAAATACATTTATTCCGGTTTCATTTTAAACCAAAATTAGGATACTATTCATAGCTGGATCTTTATGAATATTGCGGTATCAGCATTCTCTGAAAGCAACTCAAAGAAAGTATAAACATACAAAAAAGGAGAAAGAAAATGTGATTTTGAGACAAAAAATAAATAACAGAAACAGGATATTAGATTGTATAAGATATTTTGGAATTTATATAAATAAAAGAATTCAGAGCGCTGGGGATGAAGTTCAGTGATAAAGAGATCACAGCCTAGATTTGCTCCCCGCACACACATAAAGTAGTAAATAAATAAATTCAAAATATATACCAAAAACTGTTATGTAGAAAATACTTCAATGAAAATAATGAAATAGTGCTCGCTTTGGCAGCACATATACTAAAATTGGAACTATACAGAGAAGATTAGCATGGCCCCTGCACAAGGATGACACGCAAATTCGCGAAGCGTTCCATATTTTTCACGGAAGGCAGGCCACGCGACTCGGAGAAGGGACCCAGCCGCCCGCCCGCGTGGTAGGCAGACCACCCCAACTGGAGGAGGGGCCCAGCCATCCGCCCGCGTGGTCACCGGACTGAGCTCTGGACAAACATAATGTTTCCCCAACACCCCCCACCTCATCAAACACCTTACGAGAAAAACTGATGGAACTCATCTTGGAAAATCCCATGAACCCTTAAAACCCACCAACCAGTGGGTGTGGCTACCAGCTTGGTTCTGTGGAGGATCAGGCACCTGGTTTACATCTCAGAGAATAAGTATAGAGAGGCCACAGGTGGAAGCTCAAGTCCTCTCACACTGGCTACCTCCACCACCCTGAATGCAGAGACTCAAGTCAGGAATAGATAACGCCACCTACTGGAAGAAAAGAAAACAGAGTTCTGAGAGACATTTTTTTTTCTTTTCTTTCTTTCTCTTCTCTCTCTCTTTTAATCCATCCATCCAGTCTCCTCTACCCTTCCCCCTCTGGTCCTCACAACCTCAACATATGTGAAATCAAGAATTGTGCATGAAAAATGTCTTTAACAACTGAATCACCAGAATAATATAATATAGAGGAATTGCATATGCTCCACCTCCATCCCCCCTTTTATTTCTTTTCTTTTTTCTCTTATTTTGTTTTTCCCACTCTCTTTTTTTCTCTTTCTTTCCTTTTTTTCCTCCTTATTACTCCCTATATCCCACTTGCAACCCCCTAAATTGTACTATTTATAAGTAGGGTAATCTTATAAATACAGATAGGAGTTTGAATCTATGCATTCTTTCATAAATTACCCATCTATTGGTTAGAGCTCTCCAAAATTACTAAGTTAGATTAACCCCATAACCTCACTCCTTTCCCCCTAAACATAACATCCTACACCTGAAATTCAGTTTTCTTCATGCTACCAGAAACAGGATGCCTTTCATGAAACTAATGACTATATTTTTAAATGATAATTGAAACCAACATTTGTAGACATAGAGTGTAGCTATAAATGTAGTAATAAGGAAAATGTGTGCTTAGATGATGTACTATTGATATTGGGAACCGTTGACATTGTCTCTCTCCATTTTTAAAACAATTTTGTGGGGTTTTGTTGTGGTGGTGGTGTGTTGTTTTTTTTTGTTGTTGTTTGTTTGTTTGTTTGTTTATGTGCTAGTTACTCCTTCTAAATGGAGGGGCCTTTCTGAGAGCCACAAGCCCTGCCTTGTGTGTGGAAAAACTAGGTGGGAGGACTTCTGCTTTCAATGTTTTTTTCTGGGTTAATGCCCTATAATCAGCTCTGTGCTGTCCTTGTTTTAAGGTTTGGCTCTTTAGTGTCTCTGGAAAAGCTCATGTGTTAATGCAGGAATGTTCAAAGGTGTAATCATTAGGTTATGAGAGCAATAACTTAGTAGACTAATTCTTTTGAAGAAATAATAATTTGAATAAATTACTTACTAGGTGATAAGAGTAGGTTGGTGAGACATGGCTGGAAAACTTAGTTCATTGTGTATGTGTCCTTGGGGTTTGTATATTGTCCCTGGCCTCACTTCTCCTCTCCTTCCTTTCTCTCTTTCTCTTCCTCTCTCTCTCTCCTTCCTGGCTTCCAAGAGCTGACCAACTTCCTCCACCATGCCCCTCTATGAACTAAACATCTGAAACTTTCAACAATAACAACACATTTTAACAATATAAACTTTTACTCCTCTAAGTGTACTTATCAGGTATTTTGGTTATGGTTATAGAAAGCTAACACACCTTGGTTCAAAAAATTGTGTATCTATGTGGACATCTCAAGTTTTGGATTCTCCAATGGCAGCTCCATTAGGACAAGATGGTAGGAATAATCTTGCTCAATAATCTGGATACAGTTATGAATGGGAACTTTAGCATCAGTGGGAAACACAGAGGCTGGGTTTAAGTCTATCCTGAATTCATGGTGATATTAGAATTGCTCAGTAATATAGTTTGAATGTTGCCTCGCCTCCCCAGATAAGTCAACACCCTTCTTTTGTTCCTGCAAGTGGATTTTATATAGTGATAACCTGGCTGGAGTTTTAACTTCTCTGCTTCTTGCAGCAAATCACAGTGGGTGCTACCATACTCAGGCATATGGGCATACTTAGTGATTATATCCAGCTGTTTTGAAAAATAGGCTACAGTCTTCTTCTATCCCCTAAATTTCTTATTTAGAAATGACTCAGATGTTGTATCAAATTTCAGCATAATAGAATTTAAGACTTTAAGCAACATGAGGAGTACATTTATAAATATTTAATCTCATTTCTATTCACCTAGTCTATCTTTGACAGTTATACCTGCATTGCTGAGACATCAGACAATCATTTCAAGTTATTTCTTAGTCAAAGAAAACCCATGTACTTGATGCACATGATACACAAGTGTGATAAAGCAATGTGAATTGAATAGTTTGTTAAAGGGCATTTCAATCCAAATTATATTTATGACAAAATGGTAGAAGCTAAGGTAACCACTTTATATGACTACACTTTAAGATATTTTTCTGTAGTCTTAGGAAGTTTGTGGACCAAATTTTTTTTAGGTAAAGCAGATCTCATAGCAGCCTGATTTCTTAAAAAGACTGTGACCTTTGCTCCTCCTCTTCCCTCTTCTTCTCTTGACTATTTATTTCATCTTTCTCCTTCATTTTCCTTCTTCTCATTTTCAAAAGAATTTATGAGTTAACTCTTAGACTTTGCATTCCACATAATAACAATTATCCTTAATATAAGAAGAAAGTCATTAGAAGAAAAAATGGAAAGCTTAAAACTTTTATATGTTCACCATATAATTGAAGTTTAAGATTAATTAAAATGCACTCCCAAGAAGTTTGTAAATTAGGCATGCTGATAAAACATTAAATTAGGCTTGCAGAGCCAAAAGGAATTTACCAGAAAAGGCAACAAGATGTTACTGGGAGTTAATAGTGTTTAAAAAATTCATGGGAATCCCCTGCAAAAGAGCAGAGTGGCCCCAGTAACCCCTGCTAAAGCTACTCTTCAGAATTAAGGTGACAGTATACCTTGACAGGTTTAAGTTAAGTTCTTCCCAGTGCTGTCCCCATGACCCATTTTCAGGCTAATACTTTCCTTAATTCAAGGAATATAAAGATCAGACAGGATTACAAAAAAAATCATTTTTTTCTTCTCATGGATTTAGAGCTGCAAGTGACCCAGTTGTTGGAGAATGTCAACTAATGGTCTGCATGTGGAGATGTAACTAATATTTCCCATTGTTTCCGAATAGTGACAAAACAGGTCAAAATTATATTCTTTTATTACTTTTATTGTAGTTAGAATCAGGTCTCAGGACACTTCCAATGAAGGCCAAACCACATCTGACCAGGTTTCTGCAATCAGATTTGGGCCATCTCCAACCACAACCAGACCAACCCAGAGAGAAACCAATGAGAACTTCTGTAGATAGAAGGTCCTTAATCCCTCTCTGGTCTGGAATCACATTGCCCCCAAGGAAGTTCAAACCAGAACTTCCATTCAGATGTTAAATCTTGTCTATCCAAATCCAGCTCCCCAACTAGAAAAGCCAAATGAGAGGGGAAAAGAAATAGGAATCTGATTGCTTAT